TTCAAGTTTTGTACCCATTTATACATGTTTTGTACCCAATTAATCAAGCCTTGTACCTACTTGTAAAAACTTTTGTACCCACTTAATCAAGTTTTGTACCCATTTATTCAAGTTTTGTATCCACTTAACCATGTTTTGTACCTCATTATTCTGGAATCAAAATTTTGTACACACTTATTCAAGTTTTGTACCCATTTTTACACGTTTTGTACCTACTTAAGTACCGTTTTGTACCCATTTATACACGTTTTGTACCTACTTAGGTACCGTTTTGTACCCATTTATACACGTTTTGTACCCAATTAATCAAGCCTTGTACCTATTTGTAAAAACTTTTGTACACACTTAATCTAGTTTTGTACCCATTTATTCAAGTTTTGTACCCACTTAACCATGTTTTGTACCTCATTATTCTGGAATCAAAATTTTGTACACATTTATTCAAGTTTTGTACCCATTTATACACGTTCTAGTTGTCCTACTGTTAGTTCTGGAACATCTCGAGTTAGTTCTACTTCAAGTTGGCGTTATTTCTAGCACAAGTGTTTGTTCTGTGGCCCATGTTAGGCCTATCTCAGTCATTGTTAGTTCTATATGTCTTCCTGTTAGTTCAAGCACATCTCGAGTTAGTTCTACTTCGTGCCACGTTATTTTTAGCACAAGTGTTTGTACTCGAGATGGCCATGTTATCCCTAGCTCACTCCTAGTTAGTTCTAGATGCCCTCCTGTTAGTTCAAGCCCATCTCCTGTTAGTTCTACTTCGTGCTGGCGTTATTTCTAGCCCAAGTGTTTGTTCTGTTATGTCATGATATCCCTAGCTCACTCCTTGTTATATCTAGCTGTCCTCTTGTTAGTTCTATCACATACAGAGTTAGTTCTATTACGTTGCTTAAATATTGTACCCACTTAATCAAGCCTTGTACCTACTTGTAAAAACTTTTGTACACACTTAATCAAGTTTTGTACCCACTTAATCAAGTTTGGTACCCATTTATTCAAGTTTTGTACCCACTTAACCATGTTTTGTACCTCATTATACTGGAATCAAAATTTTGTACACACTTTTTCAAGTTTTGTACCCATTTATACACGTTTTGTACCCAATTAATCAAGCCTTGTACCTATTTGTAAAAACTTTTGTACACACTTAATCTAGTTTTGTACCCATTTATTCAAGTTTTGTACCCACTTAACCATGTTTTGTACCTCATTATTCTGGAATCAAAATTTTGTACACATTTATTCAAGTTTTGTACCCATTTATACACGTTCTAGTTGTCCTACTGTTAGTTCTGGAACATCTCGAGTTAGTTCTACTTCAAGTTGGCGTTATTTCTAGCACAAGTGTTTGTTCTGTGGCCCATGTTAGGCCTATCTCAGTCATTGTTAGTTCTATACGTCTTCTTGTTAGTTCAAGCCCATCTCGAGTTAGTTCTACTTCGTGCCCACGTTATTTTTAGCACAAGTGTTTGTACTCGAGATGGCCATGTTATCCCTAGCTCACTCCTAGTTAGTTCTAGATGCCCTCCTGTTAGTTCAAGCCCATCTCCTGTTAGTTCTACTTCGTGCTGGCGTTATTTCTAGCCCAAGTGTTTGTTCTGTTATGTCATGATATCCCTAGCTCACTCCTTGTTATATCTAGCTGTCCTCTTGTTAGTTCTATCACATACAGAGTTAGTTCTATTACGTTGCTTAAATATTGTACCCACTTAATCAAGCCTTGTACCTACTTGTAAAAACTTTTATACCCACTTAATCAAGTTTGGTACCCACTTAATCAAGTTTGGTACCCATTTATTCAAGTTTTGTACCCACTTAACCATGTTTTGTACCTCAATATACTGGAATCAAATTTTGTACACACTTATTCAAGTTTTGTACCCATTTATACACGTTTTGTACCCAATTAATCAAGCCTTGTACCTACTTGTAAAAACTTTTGTACACACTTAATCAAGTTTTGTACCCACTTAATCAAGTTTGGTACCCATTTATTCAAGTTTTGTACCCACTTAACCATGTTTTGTACCTCATTATTCTGCTGCAAATTTTGTACCCACTTATTCAAGTTTTGTACCCATTTATACACGTTTTGTACCTACTTAGGCACCCTTTTATACCTCTTTGCTCTGGATTCAAATATTGTACCCACTTAATCAAGCTTTGTACCCACTTAATCAAGCTTTGTACCTAATAATGCCATGATTTTATTTTTGTACCCACTTATTCAAGTTTAGTACCCACTAATTGCTCGTTTTGTACCCACTTAATACTGTTTTGTTCCTCATTGTTCTGGGGGAAAAAATTAATTCAAATTATCATCCATACATGATTAATCCATACAACCACATTATCATCCATACATACATAAATCTTAAGGGAAAAGTGAATAAATCAAATTGTGAACATTCAACCGAAACACATGCTTTGTTTTGGCCCTCCGTAAACTTTGTTTTGGCGATGCCGTTAACTTTCTCGACCTCCACGAGCAACATTTTTGTTCTACAAAAAAAATTGCAACTTTATCATGACAAATGCAAAGACATTGAAAAAATATTAAATCAAGATTAAGTATAATACCTTAGCTAAAGGACAACTCGTTATATAATGTCCTTTTCCCTTACAAAACCCACAAAATCTTTGTTTTTTTATACTCTTTTCTTGTGCTATCTCCACTCCCGACTTAATTCTAGTAGCATGTGCTGGTCGTCCCTTCGTGGCAACAGGCTTATCTGGATCACGAATAGTGATTTGAGTTGCTTCCTCTATAGAGATGGGTATGGATGAAGTAGGCATCTTATTGCTGGCATTGCTCTCATTTCCATTGTCGTTATGTTCCTTCTCAATCTTGGAATTCTCAACTTCTTCAAAAAATGAGTCTAAAAAAGCACTAAACTTATCATGAAGTGTACTTGAAGTCAATGTATCTTCTAGTGCCTTGTTACATCTACTCCTAAGGGCCCAATGTTTAATGATAGATAGTTGGTCTTCACTATTTGTAATGCAATTTCTAACAACTCCGCAACCAACATGTCTTGCTTTAATTGTCCATCGTTGCATGATATATCTTGATGGAATTTCTAATACTTGCTTCTTTACTAAAATGTGCAAGCTATGTTTGCATAATATACCTTCCATCTCAAATCTCGCACAAGAGCACTTAATTCTTTTTTCTTTGGATGTATCGAAAACAACATGATGCTTTACTATCTTCTTGCTTTCAGCCTCGCTATCTATATTCCAAACGGCATAAGTAGCACTTGCGCCGTCCTTCGACAACTTTTCATGAAGCATGGAGTAACTATCCTTGAGTTCTTTCTGAAAGATAGTAAACAGATTCTTCGTATAATTCTCCCGAGCTTGTTTTTCAATGGGATGTTCAATTATCAATGTAGGAACTGAGTTTGTGGACTTAAAATCTTGCTCAAGTTCAGCGGCTCGGCGAGCTCTGACAGCATTATCATACTGCTTAACAAAATCATGTAACTCGGTATTTACATTCACAAAATGATCAAAAAAAGCATTAATTCCCTCACTCCGCTGAGTAGATGTCATTCCTGTAGTAAAAGTGTCTTTAAGATACACTGGAGCCCAATGATCTCGATGATTGTATAAATTTACTAACCAACTCCTTTTATCTGCACCATATTTGTCCCTCATTTCTTCCCAACGCTTTTCAAATTTTTCTTCCGATTTACTCCAATACCATTTGTTATACTTTACACCAACATCCTCACCATAATCATTATGCATTGATTGAAGATTTTGTAAGGCATTCCTACGAAGGTGCCAAGAACAAAAGCGATGGCGAGTTTTAGGAAAAACTTTGTGAATAGCACCACACATAGCTTTATCTTGATCAGTGATGATTGTTACTGGTGCTATACCCGACATACATTTTAACCATTGGCTAAATAACCATATAAACATCTCCTCTGTTTCATCGGCTAGTAACGCACACCCAAATAGAGTAGACTGTCGATGATGGTTAACGCCCGTAAATGGTGCAAACGG